GATCTTAAAGATCCTTTCCAACCAAATGATTGTATGATTCTATAAAGTGTTCTGTTGAATGGACCCCAAAGTCATATAAGAAAACCTGTGGGTGTATAAACTGTTTTGCTATCACAACCTGCATACTGGAAGCTGTACTTCAGGCTCCCCAAAAGTCTTCTTTTGCATCTCTCCATACTGAAGTGTTTTAGTTGAAATGGTGCATGAGGGCAGATGCAGTCAGTGCAGGATGCTTGGACCAGAGTAGGCCAAGGCAACTGTTCAGAACCACAACCACCATAAAAAAAGCATGATCATAATAAAACAGCCTCCAAACAAAATTCCTGGGGTGAGTTTAGCAAAACAAAATGAAACATTGGATCTGTTCTGTTCTGTTTCCATGGCAAATATCAATAAGAAATCTGGGATCACTGCTTAAAAATTTTTGATTCATAAACCTAGAGTTAGTGGAAATTTCCTTTTCACAACCACTTGGGAAGAAGAGGCACTGAAGCGTCAAAGTCTTCTGTGAGACACAGATTCCAAATCCTGTGGGACTCTCCTATGAATAATTTCTGCTTTTCTCCCCGACTGACTCATTTTAAGTATAGGGATGTCAAAGGTACCGAATAATCGTTCTGTTTTGTGAATGGAACGGGGCCTATTAAGTTACTCACATCTGCAGTAAATAGTTAATTATACACCTTGTTAGCTGTAAAAAAACAACAATGTGAATGATCAAGTCAGACTTCTTTTCATTTTACTTGTGATGATCAGACTTTTGTTATTTCTTAATAACCAGAGGCCAGCCCAGCAAGGCTTACTCAGAGGAGTCGAGAATGGGTCCTAGGAGGGTAAATGAATCATGATGTGAAACTGCCATTGCAACAGAGAAGTGATTTCAAAACTAAAATGCCTGGATGCCATGTCTGCAGAAAATGGAGTGTAAGAAGGAAAAATGAAGGTCGGACTGACCTGTTTCTAAATATGCTTTTTCTCCCCTTTTGAACAGGCACAGCAATGGAGAACTTGAATGTCCCGTTCCCAGACCTTACTGAAGAACAGCAAGGTGAGGGTAGCACACAAGACCAGAGCTTTGGCTGGTTCCATTGCACAACAGTGCTTGCTTGAGTGGTCATGAGTCAGTGAAACTTGTTTCCTCTGAAAACACACTCTGTCTATCTCCGTGCTTCTAAAAGAGAGACCAGCAGTCAGTTCCCAGCTCTTCCACAGGCTTCTCATCAGGCCTTGGGCATGTGCTGTGGGAATTTAGATGCATGCAGGAGATTTTGCTGTGCCTAATGAGCCTAATGAGCCTAATGAACTATCTCAATACTTTGGTGTCTGGCTCTGTGTCTTTGTGCCTGTCTGTAAGATAGCCAGAATAAGCACCTGTTAAATAGTTAGGAGTACTTCCCCTGCTTCTCTGAGACAAGAGCATCACAAAGACATCAGTAATTTGTACAGACTGTTGACATTTTCCTCCTGATTTCTGCCAGACCACGTTGCTTTACACAATACAGCACTACCATCTTACCTATCTGTATGCTAACACACTGGTGTTGGTCAGCACGTTAGACTGATTTCTGTCACCACACCTACACTGAGCACCACAGGAGCTCTGCCATGCAACCCATCTCTGTTGCTGCACAGTGATTTTGCTTGTTCTTCCTCCCAGACATTTTCCAGAGGGTTTTTACTGCTGATGTCAATTACTTGGAGAACAATGAGAAAATGAACCAGTCCTTCTGGGAATCACTTGTCAAATGTTTGGCCACCACTGACCCACCTATCCTGAATACTGAAGAAAAGAATGATGTGAGTTACTAAAGAAATATGCATCCTTTGTAAGACACTGTTATACAGATACTTTCATACTTTTCTGATATACTTTGGGGAGAGAAGACAGACAGTCGAATTACCAGATATGTTAAAACATATCTAAAACATGCTAAATGCTGTAAAAGGGCACTTGGATAGATGAGAGTCAGGCCCCTGCTTTTACTTCATTGTTCTCCATGTGAAAAAATAACTGGCTTCATATAAATTCCTCAGGATCAGTTCAGTGCACTGGGACCACTGTTAGTGGCATTTTGCTGCAAGATCCTGCAGAGACTGCATGTCCATTTTCAGACTCCATAACTGTATTTCTCCAGCTCTTTGAATAGTTAACAATTACACACCGCAGGTATTTTTCCCAGTTGACAGCTCTGCTCTGAGTTGCCGAATAGAGTTTACATTCTCTTCCCATCTTTGGCATTACTCTGTGTCCCTGATTTCCCCCTTGTACAGTGGGGGCAAGGGATCACATTTCCCACAGATGGGATGAGATACATCCATCTGTATAGCTGGGTATGTTTCTGCAGGGTACGTTTTACCAGAAGGACTGCTTGCTATTCACTTACCTTTCTTTCAGCTCCTCAAGAGCTGCGGTGTCCTGCCTGGAGCCTGCGCAGCCTGCCTGAAAGCCATAGAGCGGAAAGGAATTGGGGCAATGGCAGTCCTTTACCTCTTACTGAAGACAACCAACCCATCTGGATACAGGCAGCTGCCCAGCTCCAAGGGGAAGGGTGAGTCCTACCTGGCTGCTATTTTGTTAGAATTACTGCAGTGCCAGTGGGACTTGACACCAGTTTGAAAACTCTGATATATGCTTGGAAGTGATTGTTAGTGAACAATTAAAACGTCTAGAAATACTGCTTAGAAAAGTCAGTCAAGTATGGTGACAATGGGAGGCAAAGATAATATTTTACTTTAGTTTGACTTGGCTGCTTCTGGGAAAAAAAACCCTTGTTTGTTTAGAGAGTGAGGATGTCCTGGGATGGTGATGCCAAAGAAATTTCTCTGACTTAAAGTGGTGCCTCAGTTTTTCCTGTCCAGCTGGATTCATGACACCCAGGGCACTTTTTTTATTATCCAGCCAGCCTGGGCCTGTCTGAGCTCTCATAGTGGTGAAAAATCTGAGCTAAGACACTGAAAATATTTTTGCAAATGTCCGTATTGGCTTATGTGGTTATAACTAACAGGAGTGGATAGAGGATGTCACTCAGGATACTGAACAACAAGACACAATCAGACTCCACTGCTGCTCTTGTTTGCCTGCTTGTGCCATAGGAAATTAAGTGCAGTTCCACAGAGTTCAGAGTTACTAATTGTCTTTACTAGATCACAGATCTCCACTCAGGATGAACCTGAATTTAACTGGAGACCCTCAAGGAGATCCTGTTCCTGTTTCTGCCTTGATCAAACATGCTCATGAAGGGGAAAGACCCCCCACATGGGAGTGCAGCCCAGCCCTGGCCACCTGTCAGGGTAGGAAAGTTTGTCACAGCAGGGCCCCCCTTCCTGTTCTTGCACAGTGAGCATGCTGTGCAGCCAGGCAGGAATCACATTGAGCTGCATGTGTCCAAATATTACAATAATGAAGCACCAGCCCTCAGCACAGAGCTGAATTTGAAGCTGAATCACCTGCAACACCAGTCACACAAGCCAGAAGCACTTCATTGCCTGGCCTAGGAGTCAGCGCCCCGCGGGTTGCTCCTCTCGGGGGATTTGGCCCAGGCGGCTTCGAGAGCTCTGCCGTTGTGCCACAAGAGGGCGCTGTCACTGCGGCATGAGCACAGGAACGCAGTGGCACTCAGCGGTGACGGGAGAAGTGGCCCGGGCGAGGGTGAGCAACCACTCAGCTGAAGCTTCCTCCAGCTGCTATTGCTTCAGGGAGGGGGAATTTGGTAGCATTATGGCTAAACTGAAGACCAGAATACAGAACTTTAGGCACTCACCACAACCATTTAAGAAAGTCTAAACTGCAGTGTATATGATGCTTTCATTTGTAATGCTTTGTACTGCTCCTGGTGTGCAAAAAACACAGCTGAAATAAGACTAAGGGTCTGATTTCTTGTCAGACAGCCTTTCATAAAGCATTGTGAAACCTGTCATTGTAAAAGAGAAAACATAAACAGTTGTTTCTAATATTTCATCTCTATATGTAAAACAGATGAAAAATTGAAACTCCTGAAGAGACTGGAAAGGAATCTCCTGCTTTCACAAGGAGAAAAAGAGGCTGAACACTCATCCCATGAATCCATGGATGAAGATACACAAGGTAAGGAGGATTTATTTTCTCTTTCCCCAGTACATAATTCAGTCTGATTGTTCATGAGAGATTCCCAAAGGAGGCTTGCAGCAATTCAGTAGCAATCTGCAGAACTCTGAAAAAAGTCAGAAATTTTGCAAAAGAGAGAACACAGAAAATAATCAGAATTAATCTAGGTTCATTATAAGCAAAAGAGTGGCTGCCAACTCTTGTGGGAAGTTGGAGGTTTCAGAAACGTAGAAGTCTGCTGCAAGATTTCTTCCCAAATAAAAGATCATAGCTAACGTCTATGATCTTCAGTGCATTTATTGTCTTAGCTCCAGCCTGTGCAGGAGGCTAAGAATAGTCAGTAGTAGCTGGCAGTGCTACAGTACTTCTCTATCATTACTTTTCTTCTTAGCAAACATCAGCAGTCTATCAAAAGTCACGTTAGCTGCCACTAGACTGTTTCGATTATGGAAAATGAAAGAGTAAGAAGTGACAGGCAACAGGGGAGTGATAACGCCAACATAGGCTTCTTCTGTTACAGAAAGCCACTAGCTGATTATGATCAATTGAGTTGTATTTAGAAATAAAATTTTCAAACTAATTAACAGTGCTGCTGATGTATGTATTTAAAATAAGAACTTTCTCACTACACACGTTTATACAAATCATTCCGTCTTCAGATTTTGCTGTGTTTCTCCTGTGCAGCCAGTTTTGAAGAGAGCTGTGAGGCAAAAGCAGCTGACAGTGATCCTTGCATTTCAAAGGCTTGATTTTTACCTATCTATCCCAAGGCCATCATTGCTGTTTCTGATACTGCTGGCAGATTTTTCTTTAATCTGTTGAAAAAACTCTCTCTCTATCCAGACATTGATGGGGAAGATTTAGGAAGACAGAAGACTGAAGGCAAATTACTTGGAGGTAGGACAAAGTGACAACTGTATTGGTTTTTACTAGAGGCAACCAGTATAAGCCAAAAGAAGGATAATTTCTGGTATTCTTTGGTTTCACTTTGGAACAAAGGTACATCAGCATGCACAGGTGTAGGAAAAGGACCAGTCAGAATTTGGCTGCAGGAAAGGTGTCCCACAAGATGAAGCTCAAGTAATACAAACACTCAGCCGTGCTGTGGTTAGCACTGAACCAGGAGAACAGCAAAATCTGCTGCTGTGGGAGAAGTCCTGCTGCCTGGGTCTGCACAGTTGCCTTTGAAATGCAGCAAGAGAATTTGAAAAATCTATCCTAGCCACTGCAGTCTGCAGTCAGCTCCCAGGGCCAACTGGAGATCATCAGCAAGGACCACACCTTGCATCTTGTTCCTGAGGCTTTTCCTTTCCTTCCAAAGGAACAGTGGAAAATAAGTACAATGCAGATGAGGAAAATGTGCTGTGTCAACACACAGAAAGAGCTATCAGCTTATGGTATAGAACCGTAGATGTAAAAAAGTTAATGCTTTAATAGTGTAATTAATGTCTTAAATTGATCTCAGCTCAGATGTTCGAGCAGCTTATTTAAATCAACATATAATTTGCCTCACAGGAGTCTGATTCTACCCAACTCCAGCTGGTGTGAGAGATGGAATATTGGGGGGTTAATAATCCACTCATGTTTCCCACTTTCAGACTGCATAACCCACCACTGAGCTGTCCTCGCTAATGAGTTAGTGTTGGTATCTACCTTGTCACTTTTACACAGCTGCACTCGTAGAATCACAGAATGTACTGGGTCGGAAGGGACCTTTAAAGCTCATCCAGTCCAACCCCCCTGCAGTCAGCAGGGACATTGGTACCAGATCAGGATGCTCAGAGCCCCATCAAGCCTGACCTTGAATATCTCCAGGCATGGGGGCTCCACCACCTCTCTGGGCAACCTGTGCCAGTGATTTATCACCCTCATATGGAAGAACTTTTCCCTAACATCCAACCTAAATCTACCCTTTTCTAGTTTAAAACCTTCACCCCTCATCCTACTGCTACATGCCCTTGTGTCAGTTCAGCACAGTTGCGTGGGCTAGGACTGGCAGCAAGATACGCGCAGTCATTATGGATATTAACCTGCATCATCTTTGTGTAACATTTTAGGTGCACCGGCAGAGGTTGTTCCCTCTAGAGGTTCAGGTAAGTGTTCTCAGATAACTTCATCCTGCTGGAAGGAAAACTGTAACTGCAGTTTCTTCTTTTTGATATGCTTGTATATTAAAGTATAACACCCCCTCAGCTGTAAATCCGTTGGTTTCCAGTTACCCTGGTGTTGGACCTTGGCATGGTGCAGAGGTCTTGTTGCAAGCTTGTCCCAGTGTCTGCCTGATAGCAGGTGTACACCTGTACAAGGTGTTCTAGCAGATTAACCCATTTTTTTAGTCCTGCCGGGTTCTCACAAGAACAGTTCGCAGCAGTTGTCGTCCTTTTTAGGGGAAAACCCAGCAATTCTATTGGGCAACTATTCAGTCTGTCCCAAGAAAGCTGGCCAGTTTTCAGCATTCCCTGCAGCCCTCTATCTCTTGCTGAACAGGGATGTGAGACTGGGAGGAAGCTGGAACTTGGTTTCTGCAAAACATTGCTACACAGCTCTGAACGCCTTCCTAGCTTGGAGCTCAGAGCATTCCCCAGCAGAAGGTGCTAGGCAAAAGCCAAATGATGGGCAACAGAGAAACAGCATCATCTGAGAGGCTTGGACAGCCAGCCAATCTGAAGGCAAATTTCCTTTTATCAGGCACTGCTGAGCAGCAGCAGAACAGATGTGAAAAGCCCTTAGTAGGAAAATGTCAATGGCTTGGTGGCATTAATCTTCTCATCCCTCCCTCCCACTCCCCGGACAATACCATGTTCATAAGTTACAGGAGACAGACAGCCCAGCAGTGGCATTTTTGAGAGGCCACCTGCTCAACCACTTTTCTTCTGTGGAGTGGGCAATAGTTGCTGTGACTTGGACTGTTTCAGGTGAGGACAGAGTTGAGAAGAAGTTAGAAGTTGCAGCACTGAAAGTATCCAGTGCAGGACCCCGTGGCTGCTGCACTGGACAGGTTCAGGTGATACACACCTGCAGTACTTGTGGGCCCAGCTCTGCTGGGCTCCAGCTTCAGTTCTCGCAGCTGAGCATTAACACAGAGGCCATTGATCTGCTGCCTGCTGTTTCAGAGAACCTGGTATCAGTGTGAATAGCCAGTTTTATTGTTACCTCTTCTTGGGCCCTTTTAAATTCCTTCATTTCCTTGCACTCTCAAGTACTGTTTTGTCTATACTGAGTCACCAAATAGTGAGTACTCACCATGCTCACTAGTGATGATCATCGTGGTAAACAATATATTTGCATTTTTACCATCAGAGATAATAAAACTACATTACTTTTCAGAGATCCCCAGAAGAGAAGATTCCGTTGCAGATGGTAAATGCAAACAGAAGCTCTTCTTGTGGATGCTGGCTTTCAGGACTGAGTTTTGCTTAGTGATGATAACTATACCAGCTACTTGCTACCTGTCCTATTAATTTCCTAATAAAAAAGTACAAGTTTGAGAATAGTTACTAAAATGCACTGTCATGCTTTAACGGAAGATATACCGTGCAAGTCATACAAAGTTACAGTGGAACTGTTGCATTGAAGAGGCAGAGTAACGCAGAACAGACACTTGCCAAATAGGGATCGATGTTCTGATAAATTCTGCGTCTGTGGATCATTCGTACCACTGCACAGAGGAACATCCGTGAGTCAGAGTAGTCCAATTCTATGTTAATAATCAAATAACCGAGTTTGTCCCCAGACCAGAACCTGACCAATCCAGAACGCTAAAAGAATCAAAAGCTAAAAAAATGTGAGTCCAGTGTCAGGTGACCCAGAACAGAATTTCTTGGCAAAATTTAGTGGCTTCATGGTTCAAAAGCCCAATGGCAAAAGTCTGGAGCTCATTTCCAGTACTCTCCTGTTACATCTTTAGAGAAAATTAAATTCACTGCCAGGCAGTGGTTGCCTGGATGCACAGCCTGGCGTAAATGAAATCAGCATCTAAAACTTGCAGTGAATCAACTCCCAGAGGCTTATTTGCAGCAGGCTGCCTGGGGGGTCTGCTCAAGCAATCACAAACAAAAAAGGAGAAAACCTGCTTTGAACACGTTTTGGAAACCTGGTAAAATACTCAGCTCGTTCTGACTTTTGACAACACAGTTGGGGGAAGAACAGAATTTGGCAACTCTGCTCACAACGTAGAGCAAAATGCTCTGTATTTAAATATTTTAAAATATCTAGCTTGTTCTTGCATGTTCTTTTTAAGTATCAGTATAGCTATCTGTAGGAGACTAATTGTCAGCTACAGTTCTTTGGGGAGTGCAGAAATACTTCAATATCAGGCTTAAGTAGATGATGGTACTCACGCTTGGTAATGAAGACGGTTATATTATTATTGCTGTGACTGTGCAAAGCACCCAGGAATCAAACTGAAGCTCCCTTGTACCACTGCTTTATTCCCCCAGTGTAATTCTGAGACCATTGATTGTCCCTGACTAGACAGAAAAGACCCAGAGTGCTCTAAAACAATTCTCTTGTTGTTAATGCAACCATGTGATTATGCTTTAAAAACAACAACAAAACCCACAACAACTGCCCTTTCTCGGGTCATTTTAAAATTGCTAATTTGATCTTTCTGAAAGGCTTGCAGATCTTTCCTTTGAACAGTTTTACATATATTCTGTCCTGACAATCAAGTACAGATACAAAAAGGGAAGTAAACTTAAAACTCCTTGACTTCAGAGTTCCGCGGCAATAAAAGACATTTCTTTTTTGTAGCATATGAGAAGAAGAACACTCACCTCCATCAGTGGGCAGTACGGTGGATGGGCATACGGAAGGATGGTAAGTTCTGTTTTAAATTCAACTGATGTCAACCACGTTGAACCTTAGTCCACCAGTAAGATCTCTGGTTCAAAAACCACTCGCTCCCCACCCCCCAGCCCCAGCACGAGTACTTTGTTGAAGTGCGTCACCGTTTCTCGTAACAGCTTGTGTGCATGCGTGCTTTGCAGCTGACTCCAGTGTATGAGACCTCTCATGTGGAAACAGACCTGGTTGGCTGAGCGATAGTGTACCCCAAGTGGTGTTCTTAAGGGCCGTGCCTGCAGTTGTGACCTAACGTTCCCTCTCTATTTCAGATGAATTCTTTCACTTTGTCATTCTTTGCTTTGCAATTGGAGCTTTACTAATTTGCTACTACTACTACAAAGGTAAGACAGGACTTCAGTAGAGGAATAAAATATTGCACACTAGAAAAATGAACAAAGCCAAACATTTATTTTGTTGCTTTAGACTGGACTATTTCTCTTGGAATTGGTTTAATCACCTTTGCTTCCCTGGAAACCACTGGGATATACTTTGGTCTAGGTAAGTGTATCTACAGCAGCCAGCTCTGCATCCACACTAAGGACGTGAGGTCACACAGTCATTAAACTACACAAGTCTGTGCTAAGTTGCCATGACCACATATAATTTTAGCAGCAAGGCAGTCTTCCCAGAAACACTCCAAGGTGCTGCACCCTCAGGCTACCATTCATTCCCCTGGAACCGAGGCAGCTGAACACCCTGAGGAAGAGCTCTCAGCAGAACCTGGATGGTGGCAGCTACTGAAAATTATACTTAAAAAATGGGCGTTCTTGACAGTCCCTAAGGGTGTCACAGGACAGGTGCAGCTAGCAGCAAGTCATGGCTTCCCAGCTGAGAACCGAAGTCTCCTCTGTAATCTGGTGCTAATATCTTTGGTAGGTTGTGGATGGTTTTCTCAGGAATCAGCCTTGTCTCTATTTTGGTATTAGTGATAGAACAAAAGTGCTTGTTTAAACAGTAATCTTGGGTTCATTAATACTGCAGTGTTTGCCTTCTGCCATTTTTCTGGTTTTTTTATGGTTTATGTTGCTGTCTGGCTCATCTTGCAAATAATGTTTGTTTTCACAATTAGTGTATCGAATTCGGAGCATACTTGACAGTTTTGTTCCTCTGATTGACAAGCTCAGGCTACCAGGTAACAGTGATCTTCTTACTGACTGCATGCTATTCCCTAGACTTTCCTGGGTACTTAATTTTGGTGGAGTCTAAATTACAATTTACAATCTTCTCTTAATTTAAAAAAAAGGAAAAAAAAATAAATATTTTACTACGATTCATTACAGCTGCTTGGGTTTGAAAATGAATCATTCTTGGCTCTGTGCGGCAGAGCATTTTCACATTTTTAATATTCTGCCCTGTATGGGGTATTAATTCCAGTAATTACATTAATTAATTCCATAGCTCAATTAAAAATTCAGAGTTTCTCTTGTCGGGTCTTCAGACAGACTCCAGGCTCACATTTGCGTGTTCATGAACATAAAACATGAAGCCTGCTGAAAGGCCGCAGACACATGACAATGGGAACACAAGAGCCCTGACAGTGATCTTTCTCTTCATCATGCAGGTATGAGGAAAGCTGCCTAGGAAGAGCATTTCAGGAGAGCTCCACAAAACCCCGCTGTCTGAATTTCTGGTGTTGAAAGAACTGCTTATAAGGCAAGCAACCTAATGGCTAATGTGAAATACTGAAATGTTAAACCGTAGAAAGACATCATTCCCTCACCTCAAAAATAAAGCTGAAACTGTGTTACAGGGTCCCGTTCTTCTGAAGGGATTTGTGGCTCAGCAGAGCTCATAGGAAAACCTAGATGTAAGTTTATATTTAATTCCATTAAATATAAACATTCTCCTTCCCTCCCCCATACAACCATGTTCATCTGCCTATGCTGTATCAACATCAACAAACGGACCAGTATTATCCTCAGCTGGTTCTGGATTAGGCTCTGGATGTTTCAGTAGGAATCTTGGCAACCACAAAGCCACCTCTTCTTCACCCCTTGTGATGCTGCAAACCAGGCAGACAGCAGCTGCTTGCTTACACAGCTGAGCCCCAACAGTGCAACAGCACTGAAGCAGATTAATTTATGGTGGCAGAACTCAATATAGTGGGCGTATAATGATTTCATCCAGCGAAAGCTGGGTGAGATTCTACATGCTGTGACACAATGGTGCAGTAATGAGATTATTAACAGCAGCAAATTTCATCTCTTCTTCTGAGGGGAAAAATAAAGTGTTTGATTTGACTTATCCCCCAGCATTTTTCTTTGAGTAAAACAAAGTGCAGCTTTGACACTTCTTTCATTTTATAGGGACGTGTTACACATGACACGTAAAGGGCTAATGCAGTCATAGGCAGATTGCAAAAAAAACCCCAAAACTTTACATTTTTAGTAAAAAAAAAATAAGGTCCTCACCCCCATCCTTATGGCAGAAAGATGAAGGCATGAAGTCAGAGAGCCATAAACTATGAAACTGTCAGGAAATGTAGAGCTAAAAGCCATTTGCCAAAACAGCCCAGAGTTTTAGAGAAGCAATCTCAAGCCTTGCACACTTACTTTCGAGTCGTACTTTAATTTTAAGCACCAGTGCTGATCATCCAAAGTGTTGCAGGTCCATTTGCACATCCTAAAATATCAGCAATTGTATGCAGGTCTGCACCAGCACAGCGTGGCAGCTACCTAACCTGTCAGGGGTTAAATTAAGCAGTAAGGATGAATACAGAGTATTTTATCATGTTTATGCTCTTATTTACACGTCTTGTTTTGTGTTGCTAGTCTGCAAATAGTATTGCTCACACCAGTGTAGTAGTTTTTGTGTCAAATGGCTTTTGGGTGAACTGAAAACTGCATAGTCGCCCTGCTCTGATGAAGATTTTTAGTTTCCTCTGCTTTCTAACATCTTTCTGAAAGGTAATTTATGGAATAGTCAGAATGAGAAACATATTTTAGTACTAAAGAGATTTTCAAATTTTATGGGTAAAGTAAGCAAAACATTTAAATATCACCCAGTGGAAGCCATCATGTGAGATGAACAGCTCAGCCAGCTTGGAGTAGCTCACATGAGAAGAATAAATTCTATAGAAAAAGGCAACTTACACGGTCAGCCACATCCCCTCAGGCATCTGAGAATTTCCTGCTCTTCTTTCAGATCCTTCTTCTTGAGTCTGTCTCAGCTTTTTAAACATTCCTGCCTGTTCCCCAGCAGCAACACTCTCACTCTGGGCTCGTGTCACCCTTGCTGCAGCACTGGGCAGGCACTCAGAAGGAAGCATGATGCAAGTTCCTATGAGGAGTTTCAACTTCCTTAAGTGACCTTGTGCTCACTGAGCTGCCACTCTTGAAGCCCAACCTCCCCCTCCCCTGTTGATCTCCCTTCATTTCCACATTATCCAGTGCACAGGGTTCTTCCTTCTTGGCTTTGGTTTTCAATGCCGGGGGCAGTGCAGCGAGGAGGAACTGCAGCAAAGGCACCAGCCACCCTCCTGCTGCAGGACATGTTCCTGCTTTTTGCATTTCTGTCCAGAAGAGGGGCCAGGAACTCTTCTGGCAGCGAGGGAGGAGCTCTGTTTTCGCCAAACTCCCTTCAAGGCAGGTTTTTCATTTTCAGCAGTAAGTTGGACCAAACATTGAACTCAATTTGTCTTGGGCTACAATGCCCCACCTCTGTTTCCCTGCTGAAGCACAGCCCACTCACATCTTCAGTGAATGCCCAACCGCTCCCATGCTAGAGCTCACTGGAGGGAAGGTTCACAGCAAAGCAGAAAATGCTCCTGATAAACAGCAGGCAGACAAATGGCTGCTCCGCACAAACTGTTAAACAACCTGAAGGTTTTCAATGACTGAAAACATTCACATGTTACCCCACTGCACAAAACCCCACAGAATAAAAAAAGAGATTAAAACCCACAAGTTTTTTCAGCTGGTAATTTTATTAGAACTCTCTACATAAAGCACCTTTGTCTGGCTTTAACTTACAGTGCTTCTCTGAGCACTGCTTCTCTGTAACACAGCACAAGATGCTTCAAACTACTCCGCATTTCTTGATTTGGACACTGCCAACTTAACAGCTTGCATAATGCCATCTTTATCAATGCCAAACATCTTCAGGAGCTCAGCTGACTTTCCGCTGCGTGGTACCTGAGATACAGCCAAGCGATGGACTGTGATACCAGGCTCACCCACCACTGCAGCACACACTGCTTCTCCAATGCCACCTATGAAAAAAGTCAAACACAACATACATCTGTGTACTTCAGCAGGCAACATATAGATCACACGTATATCTGATCCAAAGGGCCATGCAAGTTAAATCCTCATTTCTCATGCTTATGAGAAACATCACAATATATGTCTGAGTTGCCCATTTGTGAAACGAAAACTTCCCTCGTTCAAAGGCATTCTGAAGACAACCAGCCTAACATTTCTGAAGCACTTACAAACTGTCAGTAAGAAATGCACACCTCTGAAGGGCACAGAACTGTCAGGAAGTCTTTACCACTTCAGCATCAGCCACCAAGGGCCAGGTTTAAAAATATACTTAGACTGAGGAGTATTTACAAATGTACTCAATGTGCTGAAAGGCTTAATTCCCACCAATCTCAACAGCATTTAAGAGCTCCATCTTTTCATACTGCCTGTACCTGCTGCTAGGCACCTCTGGAGCTATGTAATACATTCACAACCTTTGCTTTGAGCTCAGCTCAGCGAGTCGTTAACAGTCACAGGGACAAAGGATGCAACAGAGAACTGTGTGGCAGCAGGAGTACTAGGGAAGAAGAAAACACAGGACTGGTGTCAAGAGCGTGTGCTCTGAAACACCTTGGTGCTGCACTTCAGTTAGGGAGTATCCAGGAACGCAGGGCTTTTTACAGCTCCAGGCACAGTGTGACTCAATCAGTCAAACTTAGCCTCCAGCCAGAGGCACCTCCATGGATGTGGCTGGTAAGACCAGCCTGATGGAGGCTTGCAACGCATTCCGGCTTGTGGTGCACATACATTTGACCTTCCTTGATTGCATCACACAGAGAAAGGTGTGCCAGGGTAAATCTCGTGATCATCACCTCAGAGTGTGATGATTTTGCCATCTGGCAAATCTGCAGTAAAATATTTCTCCAGGGTGTAAAGATAAGCTAGAAAATGATGAAGCTCAGTGACGCTATCACCATCCATAGTCTGGAACAGTCTGGAACATACCTGGCAAGAGTAATGCTCACCTTAAAGTAGGATAATTAATAAAAACTACTCATTTCAATTTCTACTAATATCTACTAATGCCATAGTTCACAGCTGTCCCTCTGCTAATTTCTCCATCTCTCCACAGGAGGAGGAAACCTGACATGCAATTTACAACAGCTGCTCCCTGTTTGCATATGGTCTCATCTTCACAGGATGTTTGCACAGGCAAACCACTGAAAACCTGTGCAAACAAAGCACACCAGAGAGCAAGTGCCAGCAGATGATGGATTGAACTCCAGTTAGTGGCTGGTCACAAGCCAGTGTGATCAAGTGCACCCTCAATAAATTTGCAGATGACACGAGGCTTTATCAGTGATCTGGATGAGGGGATTGAGTGCTCCCTCAGCAAGTTTGCAGATGACACCGAGTTGGGAGGGAGTGCTGATCTGCTGAGGGTAGGAAGGCTCTGCAGAGGGACCTGGATAGGCTGTATTGATGGGTTAAGGCCAACTGTATGAGGTTCAACAAGGCCAAGTGCAAGAGAACTAAACCATTATGTCGCTCCAGAACCATGAGGTGACCTGGAATGCAATCTAGAACTAAGAAGTGATCTAGAACTGACGAGCTAGAACATGTTCTAGACCCTCCTCCCTACCAGAACACATACCTGCTCTAGAAACAACTGCACCAACACCAAGGTGAAGAGCTCCAGAGTGGAGGATCACGTGGAGGACCACGCTGGGGGACCTTGCTGAAGTGACAAAAGCAGCTAAACCACAGGAAAAACGAAAACCAAGTGCAAAGGCAAAAAGCGCAGGGAGAGAGAGGGCCCCCAGGCTCCCCTTGAGAGGGAAACGTGAGCTCCTGACTCACCGTGGACAAGAGTGACGGTTAAGGCCCTCAGGTAGAAAAGCAGCCCCCAGGGAGCGCGAGCGACCCGGAGCACAGCGAGCAGGACCGGCAAACAGGGCATGGTGCAGCAGTTCACGCAGGCAGGGCGAGCAGGCAGGGTGCTGAGGTTCGGCTACAGCAGTCGGTGAGCAATGGTCACCAGCAGGCAGAGAGCCATGGCCTCCCTCAGCCATGCACACACCAAGGCAGCCGCAGCTTGACTCAGGTGTCGAGCTGCAGGGTGCCCTGCTCTTACACCGATGTCTGATGGCAGCAGCGA